AAGCCCTTANTTNTTNTTCCACCACTGCATATTCAAAAAAAATTATAGTTATTTATGTATGTGCGTTAGTATGTCAACTTAGTGGCTACGCCTAGCAACTTAACGAAATCTATTCCATCCCAGTGGGAATTAGAATCACGTAAATAATAATGCCTTGCCAGCAATTTGTTCTTCACCTGGCGGTACTTACCACTTCCCTGCCGAATTTTCTTAAAACCCAAAGTGTATACTAACTGTAAATTCGCTAGAGGAACGGTGATGCTCCTTAGCATTTTCTTAAAGGAACGGTTCCATTTGTCGTAAACGCGTCTGGCAACGCCAAGAACGTTATATGCGTCTACATCTTAAGGTCAGCGAGCATAACCTAACCAATAAGGTTTATACTAAAATTGGTCATAATAATGTGTTAAAACTTTATGAAAATTCCACAATGTAGGCTTGCCGCCGTTTTCCAACATTCGCTATTGCTAATTTTAATATCAAAATAACAGCAGACGCGCCTAACAACATGCAACATATACGTAGTTGCACGGCCCTCAAACTGCCACATTTGACAGATTACAGTTTTCCATACTTTTAGGCTCCACTGATTTTCATTTAGAGAATTTTGATGACGAAAATTAATAGAGACGCTGCTTTGGCACGATATCATAGCAGAATGCTTTAAGACAGCCGAAACGGCACAAATGCAAACGTACAATAGACAGATCTATGGGTATTGTCTAAGAGAATACTACACTAATATTTTTACATATATAGATATATATATATTGGGGCATGTAAATTTTTATTTTACTTTGCGCGTATAGCATGGGAGTATTCTACGCGTAATTCTAAGCAAATTTTCCGAAGAAACCACGGCACCAAAATCAATTTAGAGTTTGCCAAATTGCAAAACCAGGTTTCGAATAAAATGTGAAGATTTTCACTGCTGCGCCCTCGGGTGGAAATTTTAAGAAAAAGGTAAGTGCAGAAATGGATTATTCGTCCTTATTTAAAAAAAAAAAACTGCCATACAAAATGACTCGCCCTAATGTATATATAGGGAAAATGTACATGCAATTATATTTATGAAGTTTTAGGGTAGTGGCCTTATAAAAAAGAATAATATTTTGGCACTTGCACTTTTCCTAAGTGCTTGGAGAGACCTACAATTTTATGTTGCCTTCGAAAGACAAATGGTTTTATAAGAAGCTTTTCATGGCATAAATGCACTCGTAGGGTTGCCATTGCCTGCCGCGGGGCGACCACGGTAAGAAAAGACATTTTCTAGTGTGGATGTTGCTCGGATCAGAGATCGAACCCAGGTCTTATGGAGTGGTGAAATGCACCGCTAACTACTTAGCCACTTAGTGGCCTAGGCTCATGAAATTACCAAAGCTGTGAAATATTCAAAGGTTAAAAAGAGGCCTAGAGTTGTGTAGAAGCGAATTCCTTTTCCCTACTCCCAGATAAGCCAACTATGCGATGTTACATCCAAGTAGGTATCGCCGTTTGATAGGTGGCCTTCATTGCATGACAAAACCTGAAGGAGCCGGCTCATGAATCGAGAAAACCTCAATATACTCGGCTTTCTCAGACATGCTGGCGACTGCCTCGATAGCCATCAATTTCGACTGATGTATGTAGATACACACTCACTCATTTTCGATAAACTCATATTATGACGTGATGGCCATTCTAGCGGGGTAAAATGTGTCAACATTAAATACTCTTTATTAACAACGTAATACACGTACGATGAAAAGGTAGATTTGATATCAAAAGGTATCCCTTAGTCTTTAACTTAATGTTTTCGAAGTAAATAGGTTTTGTCGATTCGAAAGGCTTTATTTCTATGTACACACATAAATTTAATAATTTAACAGCTGGCTTTCACTTAGTCTAATTTCGAATAAAATATTTGAAGGCACGTATTTTCAATATACTTATGCCATGCTTCCACTTGTATAAGGATATACTAGCATGCATACATACATACATGACGATTTGAGCCTACAACACCAAGTTGGAATGTGTAATTACTCAGTATTATAACTATTACAACGTCGACAAAAACAAAAAAAAATTCAAAACATATGAAAAAATCGATACAATACGCTCACGAAACCGTATTCCAAATATAGTAAAATTGCATTTTTTTTTATTTTTCACTCTGACGTCAGGATTTTTTAAAGATATGATAAATTAAAAAATTATTTAAAAAAATCATTGGAATGTAGAATAACAATATGGGTACCAGATGAGAGAGAAAATTCTTTTTATATTTAAAAACAACAAAGTTGTTTATTTTTATAAGCTAATAAAGTTTGCTTACCGAAAAACGATGATGAGGTCATGCAATCATTAAAAAAAAATATATTTCAAATTTGTAAAGGACATTTTCCATACCCATTCGTGCTTATGCACCAAAATATTTATGCCGTTATAATTCTACATAAGTTTTTCTTTTATGCGATACCCTTACTGTTATCCTATACTGCACCGAATTTTTTAAATAATTTTGATAAATAAATAATCGTATTTTTTGAAATTTCAAAACCCTTTTAAAAGAAATCCTGACGTCAAAGAGAAAAACTAAGTACGCAATTTTACCATAATTTACCCATAGTTTCGCGAATGTATGTATCCATTTTTTTTTTGTGTGGAAAATTTAGTGTCGCACGGTGTTGTTGCATCTACTTGGTGACACATAAATTAGCGCGCTTAATTACACAAATTAACTTTGTACATACGTATATATGAATGTTCATTTTGGCAAATAATTAGATAGTAGAAACTTGTAAATAGATTGAAGTTTAAAAATAATTAATAAATAAACCAAAGACAAGTAACCAATAGAAACGGAAATGGGAATTTTAATTTTGGCATTTCAACGAACTTCATGCACCGACTTTTTACAACTAAGCGATGAAAATTCAAATGAGTAGAATATTTGCAAAATACGTGCAAAAAAAAATTAAGAGAACTAAAAAAGAACCACCAAAGAAAAAAATAAAGAAATATTGTAAATTAAACAGAAAAAGTTGAAACAAAGCTATTTTTTGCTTGTGAACAAACAATTTAAAATATATTCACTAAAAAGCTAAAATATTATTTCTAGAAAAAAAAAAAAACAAAAAAGAATAATAATCTGTAAATACTATTTTAAATCACCGTAAAAATAGTTTTATGAAAAAAATAGTGCTAACAGTGTCTATATATAGTAAAAATATATGTATGCATTGGCAAATTTAAAGCCAAGCCATTGATGAAGAGCTCATAATTATTAATGTATTGTTGTATATTGCGGCTAGTTTTTAAGTAATTAACACATAACTAAGGTAAAGTTTAAATGATTAAATGCAAAAACTAAAACTAAAAATAAAATATAAAAATAAAAAGCATTACCATTAGCGGCATAGAAAATCCCACAAAATGAAAACATAAATAATTGAATGCGAATTGCGACTAATAGTAAAAAAAAAAAAAATCGATTAAGAAAAAATATGAAATGATGCGTAAAAAATTGCACCTGCCACGTGTGTGTTTTTGCTTACGTATGTACTTAAATTATTCAAAAAAAAAAAAGGTAAACATAGAAAAAGTGCATAATCATACAATTTTGATTCAAATGCACTAGAAAGTTTTGCAAAAGGTATCGGAAGATAAATTGAATGAAAACAATTTAAAAAAAAATTTAACTTGTAATAAATGCAAATTAGAATAGATAACATAGAAATAGTCAAAGTAAATAGACCAAAGATGCAAGCAGAAAAAAACTAGTTAAAATTTGTATAGTAAATAAATTATGTGTAGCAGTAAAAAGCACTGGATAGAATCGCAAACGAACGAACATACAGATAAACAAAGTGATTAAATGCACAGTTTTCTAAATTTTTTGGTGAAAGGAAAATCATAAGCCTCAACAAATGTTTACATTCTGTGGCAATAAAGAGAATAAAACAGTTTTGCGCAGTTTTTCAAATAAGCTGTTTGGCTTATTCAGATGTATCTGACATCTATTGAAATACATTTTACGAGGGCAGTTTCATAAACTCCGTGGCTTTTTTAATAAATGTTATTTTTGCGGCAAAAATCGCTCAAGTGCATATACATTGCAACAGTTTTGCGTATCACCTTCCGTTGTGGATTACAGATAGTTTTGTCCCTAACTGCCACAGTTAGTGGGTATGCCGAAACGCACAAATGACATGCAGGACACGAGTCCTTTAAGCGAGTGTAGTTGCCTCTTATGACAAGCGTGCCAAGTGCAGCTATATTCTCACAGCTAGCCCGCACATATTTAGTGTACTGTGATGGATACTTACTTCGCCGCGGATTACGAAGCAGCGCTAGCTTCCGATTGAACATCCAAACACTGCTTTGAAGAAGTCACACAAGGCAACAGTGCACAGTGGTTCAAAATTAGCATTTTGGGTAGTCTTAATGTTTCACTCAATTTGATTAATTCCTTTTTTTTGAATGAAAGTTAATAAAATTTTCAAGAGACGAGTTGAACCCGATTTTTGAATTTTCGTTTGTTTGTATTCTTTTTTTTAGTACGGAAAAAAAGTAATAAAGGTTACGGTA